TGGAAACCCGAGCCGAGAGGCCCATGGAGTGCGGACGAGCCGGCAGAAGCTCAGACCCGGCTCAAGAACAAGGGCCTTGCATTCAGAGGGGGCTTGCGCAGCGAACTGGGCGCCAGGCAGAGGGAGTCTTTGGGTCTGACTCTGGGCGCGCTCCCGACAGTCATGCCGCAAAAGCGTGGAGGCTCTCCGGGAGCCCTACAGGCGCAAGGTCGCGGGTGAAGCGCCGAAGTTGGTCACAGACAGTTTGATGCAAATTCGCGGCGTCGATCCCCGGCCTGGCCGTCACCGGACGATGATTGCCGGCAAGCGCGCGTGGTTCGACATCGCGCAGTTACCATCGCGTCGCGCAGGCCGCGCTGACGCGCGGGCGATTCAGTGCGAGTCGGTGACTTGGGCAGGCAAAACAGATGGCTTTTCCCAACCATCCTGTGGTGTTAGGTCTTCGCTTTGAAGAGACAGCGCCCCGCGTTCCTTCCTCTCCTCTCCTTCTCGTCCCCCTCCTCCCTCCTCCCTTCTTGTCCGTCCCTGTCTTCGATTTTCGCGTGTCGGCCAGTTCGACTCCACCCCGCGCGTTTCGTGGCCCCATAGGGAGCTACACCCAAGGCGCAGATGATACCGCCCGCATGCGTCGCCGCCACCCATGTCGGCACACCCCTCAAACACTTCGTGGCCCCAGGGGAGCTCCGCCCCAGACCCACATGGTGCCGCCCGCATGCGCCCCCGCCATCAATTCCGGTACACCCCTTACACGTTTCGTGGCCCCACAGGGAGCTCCATCCAAGGCCCAAGTGGTGCCACCCGCATACGTCCCCGCCACCCAGTGGCCCCATAAGACTCCACCGAAGGCTCCAGTTGCGACGCTCGCGTGCGCTTGCCCCGCCCATTAGAGCGTTCCGTGGTCCCATACGGGGCCCCACCGCAATCACCAGTGGCGACGTTTGCACGCGCCTGCCCAACCCAGTGCAACGCTGCGTGGCCCCATCTCCACCGAAGGAGGAAGTGGCGACAATAGCACGCACCCGCCTCGCCCAATACACCGTTGCATGGCCCCCAAATGGAGCTCCACTGAAGGCCCCAATTGCGGCGTTCGCGTGCGTTCGCCCCACCCATTACAGCGCGTCGTGGGCCCATGGGGAGCACCACTAAAAAGCTGCCGTGGCGACGTTCGCAGGCGTCCGCCCCACACATTATAGCGAAATTCGCACGCGCCCGCCCAACGCAATTCAGCGTTTCGTGGCCCCATAGGGTGGTCCACCGAAAACGACAGCTGCGACGTTCGCATGCGTCCGCCCCAAACATTTAAGCGCTCCGCGGCGCCAAACGGAGCTCCACCGCACGGCCCAGTGGCGACGTTCGCATGCGTCCGCCCCGCCCTGTACAGCGTTGCGTGGCCCCACAGGGAACTCCACTGAAAACCCAGCGGCGACGTTCGTATGCGTCAGCCCATCCCAGTACAGCGCTCCGTGGCCTCATAAGGACCTCCACCGACGGCCACCGTGGCGACGTTCGCATGCGTCCGCTCCGCCCAGGACAGCGCTTCGTGGCCGCAGAAGGATGTCCACCGAAGACCCTCGTGGCGACATACGCATGCACCCGCCACATCCAACACAGCGCTTCACGGTCCCATGAATAGCTCCACCGAACGCCCCCGTGGCGACGTTCGCATGCGCCCGCCCCACCCAGTACAACATTTCGTTGCCCCACAGGGGGCTCCACCGAAGGCCCCGTGGCGACTGTCGCATGCGTCCGCCCCACACATTACAACGCTTCGTGGCAACATCGGGGACTCCCCCGAAAACCCCAGGCAACCTTCGCATGCGCCCGCGCCACCCAATACAGCGTTTCGCGGCCCCATCGGAAGCGCCACAGAAGGCCCCAGTGGCGACGTTCGCCTGCGTCCCCCACGCCCAAGTCGGCACACCCGTTCACACGTTACGCGGCCTCACAGGGATCTCCACCGAAGGCCGTAATGGCAGCGCCCGCTTGGCAGCGCCGCCCCATTCCGGCACACGTTTCACACGCTTCGCGGCCCTACGAGGCGAGGTATAGCCACGGCCGCAGCAGCAGCGCCCGCATGGCCCGCCCCACTTCGGCACACCCTTGTCACGCTTCGTGGCCCTATAGGGATTTTCACCGAAGACGATACCAACAACGTCGACACTCACAATTGCATATGGTGGGTCCCTTCGCCCATATATGTGTTTACGTGGGGTCGTAACTTCGGACGTGCGGAACCATAGTTTTTGTTTCCCAGCTACCTTGCGGTATTGTACCATTATTGTGAATCCGCAGCGCCGCGCGTCCTTTTCCTTTCCCCCTTCTTCCTATCCTAGACATTCCTTCCTCCCCCTTCCCCCTATCCTTGCGCCAGCCCTCCCCATCATCATCGTCCTCATGATTACCAGCCTTATGCTTATCATCCTCGCACGTTTCGTGGCATTTATAAGGGAGCTCCACCGGAGGCCCCAGAGGCAGCGCCCGCATGTAGCTGCCGCCTCATTTCGGCGCATCCCTCACACGTTTCGTAGCCCCGTAGGGAACCTCTACCTAAAGCCGTTGTGGCAGCGCTCGCATGGCGGCGCCGCGTCCTTCCGGCACACCCGACCACGTTTCGTGGCCCATGGGGGGGCTCCACCGAAGGCCGTGACGGCAGCACCCGCATGGCGGTGCCGTCGTATTTCGGCACCCCTCATGCGTGCCGTGGCCCCAAAATGAATTTTACCGAAGGCCGTAATGGCAGCGCCCACATGGCGGCGCCGCCCCTTTTCTGCATACCTTCACACGCTTTGTGGCCCAGTAGGGATCTCCTCCGAAGGCCGTAGTGGCAGCGCCCGCGTGGCGGCACCGCCGCATGTCGGCACACTCATGCGCGTCGTGGCCCCGGCTCCACTGAGCGCCCCACTGGCAGTGCTTGCACGGCGGCCGGCATGCCTGGGATGTGCGCCCCAGTGTGTCTTTTTGTTTGTCCGCCTCCTTCCTCTCAGTGGTGTCCTGGCACTCGCAGCTGCACAAGGTTGGACCTATCGCCAGGATGATGTTACAACGGATCGTGACCTCGCGAGAGCGGATCAAACGCTCTTTCCTCAGATCCTCAGATGGGCTCGTGTTTCCAAATGCCCTACGTCTGGTTTGGGGTATTCATGTGACCCCATCCGCCTTCTCAGTCCCGCCTTCCCTCTTCTACACTCAGAGTCACTCACACTCAGACTCATTGGTGCTTCGACCCACTCACACTCAGACTCTCTCATGCTCAGACCGTCTGACAGACTCACTCAGACCCAGACTCACACTCAGACTCACTCATAGTTATACTCACTCATATCCAGACTACTCATACTCAATTGGTACTCAGACCCATGTTCATGTAGGCCCACTCACTCTCAGATCTCTCTCACTTAGGTTTTCTCACACTCAGCTTCGTCATTCCAGTATTCTCTCACACAGACCACTCACACCGATCGGTTACACACAAGCCCACACATACTCAGATTCACACTCAAACTCAAACGCATCCACTGTTCGTCATTCGCACCTGCTCCTCATACCCTCCCCCCCGCTCACTCTCGTCGCGGTGTCCAGGCATCAGAATTTAGCACCCGGAAGGGGGAGCCGCCAGGGGCTACAGTTCCCCGTGTGCACCCAGATTGTGGGGATGTCTCAAGCGAAGGTCTCGCTCTGCCCCCTTTCTCGCGAGAGCGTCGTGATCACCGTGATGTAGCAGGCGTGGCATTGAAGTGCTCCAAGAGGGAGCCGCCAGGGACAGGCACAATTCCCCGTTCGCGCCCAGATTGTGGGGATGGATCGAGCGAAGTGTTCGTTCTGCGATGCCTTCGTTCTGCCCCTCCCGCCCCTCTCTTTTGAGAGCTTCGTGATCACCGCGATGCAGCAGGCGTGGCATTCGGGCACCCCGAGGAGTATCCTCCAGACAGGGGGGGAGGGGGGTGCAATTCTCCGTTCGCGGCCAGATCGTGGGGTCGTCTCGAGCGAAACGCTGGTTGTTTGCACTTCCATCTCCTCACTGTATCAGAGGCCCCATACCATCCAGATGCAGGACGCAGTTAACTTCTGCGTCCCGGGGGGGAGCCCTCAGGGAGCGCTCAGTCGCCGCAGGCAGAGACTCCCACTCAGACGCTCACAGCGGCAAGCGCCAGGAGGTGATATGCACGTATGGAAATTCCCGCGCCAAGTGGCTATCAGCTTGACGCCTCCGCCTCCGCACTCCCTCCCCCTCCCGTCCACGCTAAGAGTCACTCATACTCAGAGTCACTGACGCTCAGACCCATTCGCGCTCAGACTTACTCGTATTCATGCGACTGACCGGTTCATTCATATTGAGAGCCGCTCTCATTCATACTTAGTCAAATTTGGATTCGCTCTTGCTCGTGTCACTCATGTTCTAGCCACCCACGCTCATATCCACTTGTACCCAGACCCGCTCATACCCAGATTCACACAGGCTCAGGCCAATCACGCTCAGGTCCACTCGTAGTCAGTTCAGTCGTACACATAATCATACTATACACGAGGACTGCTCACACTTTCTGATCTGTCACACACAGACTCTCTCAAACCAAGCACACATGCTGACAACACTACACTTCCCCATTCATATCCATGCCCACTCACCTGTTTCTCTCAGACTGGCTCCTGGTCGCCGCGATGTAGCAAACATAGTTGGACACCCCAGGAAAGAGTCGTCATGGGGTAGGGTACTTCCCCGTTTGCAACCAGATTTTGGTGATTTCTGGAGCGAAGCGTTCGCCTGGAACCCCTCTTCTTTTAGAGCCCCGTGGCAACCGCCATAGTAGGCATGACATTTGGGCGCACCATGGAAGAGCCGCCAGGGATACGATGTCTCCCCGTTCTCGCCTACCTTTGGGGATGTCTCGAGCGAGGCGCCCATTTGACGTGAGCCGTGGAATATCATAGACATTCTACAAGATGGCACGTGGCATTCTACCACGCCTCAACGTGCCAGCGGGCACTTTGGCGGGTCACAGCATCGTTCGTGGACGCGGCTTCGCGGCAGTCGATGCAAGACGACGCGAATCTCGTGGAGCACATCGACAAAAAAGCGAAGTGGGTCGAACAACTCGCTGATATCTTTACCACGTATGACAGTTCAGGCGATGGCTTTATTTCGTTGGACGAGTTCGAGTGCGTGTTTGAGGATGTGCGAACGCGGGCTATCTTCAGTGAACTCGGGATCGACTTGGACTTTCGACAGTCAAGGTCCTTGTTCGCAGTGTTCGACATAAATTTCGACGGCCAGATCGATATCGACGAGTTCATACAGGGCTGCTACTACTTGAAGGGACCTGCGAAGAGCCTGGACATGTACCTCGGCCTCTGCAAAATCAACCGCAAGCTCGACAGCGTGATTGGCTCCGGCAGCGGGCCCGACCTTCCGAGCAAGGGCCTCCCCGCCGAAGAACTACCAGCAGCCACCGAGGAGTACCAACAGGAGCCATGTCGGCGCGACGACGACGACGACGGTTGGCGACGAACGACGACGACAGATTCCGACGAAGAGCGACAACAACGACGATCCGACAAGCCATCTGGGCGCGGCGACGACAAATCACAACGCCGACAACGACGGTGAACGACGACGGCCACGACCCGAAGCAGTACCGACAGGAGCCGTCTGGGCGCGACGACGGCGACGACAACGAGCCACGAGGACCCGAGGCAGAGCAGCCACACTGGGTGGAGCTGCGGTCCTTACCCTCCTGCAGGACTTGGCGCTCTTGCCACCCGTCTCGTGGGATCGCCGACTCTGGGGCGCGAAGATACCCGCGGTCTTCGCGCGACGCTGGCCGGGCTGGTGGGTGTGCCTTCTTCATCGGGGCGGCGCCACGGCGCGGAGACTCCTTCCAGGGGGCCAGATTCGCACGATGGGCACCCTGAGGCCGAACACCGCGAAAACCTTCGTTGCATTTTTGTTCACGCCGCGAGGGGATCTGGGACCACCGCGCGCGTCACACTTCGCGGGGCGCGCTGCCAGGAGGCTGAGTGGAACAGGATACGACGGGACGACGGGGGTGAGGACTGCAGCTCTCCCTGCCGCAGCCGGTCGGCGCCGTCGTCGCCGCCGCCGCTGTCGTCGTTGTTGAGGGGGGGAGGTCGGGCTCCGCGTCGGGCTTTTCGTCGTCGTCGCTGCAGTCGTCGCTCGTCGTCGTCCTCGCCGCCGTCGGCGAACGATGACGCCCCCCATGAGTACCGACAGGAGCCGCCTCCACGCGGCCGCGCGAGCACGTCTTACTCTTCCGAGGATGACCGCAGCTTTTCTGACGAGCTCGGTCCGGTGGGGCCTCGGGATAGTAACAGTTCCTGCAGCCACTTGTCGATGGAGAGCCTCTGAGGCGACCAAGCTCTGAGGAGAAAGACTCTCCGACACCGACGCCGACGCCCTCCCCTCGTGCTCGCCTCTGTGGGCATCCTGGCGGGGCTCTTGTCACCACGATCGGATTCGCCCCAGAATCCTGATCTGTTCACGCCCTGGGGGATGGCGAGGCTCCAGGTTGCGCACAGACAGCCCACCCCCCCAGGTAGCCCTGATTGGCTTCACAGGCCCCCCGAGGAGTCCCATTTGACTTCAGCAGGCCCCCCGAGTAGCCCAAAGCGGTCTCAACACCCCAGCTCTGGGGCGCGGAGCGCCCCGGGGGCGCCGCAGGAGGCGGCGCCAGGGTGTTGAGACCGCCTTGCTACTCTCCTCCTTGTCCTCCCTTCTCCTCTTCCGTTCCCCTCCGCATGCTCCTCCTCTTCCCCCTCCTGCTGCCACTACAACTATTATTCTTACGACTCCGACTATATCACTACTACGACTACTACGATTACCACTACTACTGCTCGTATTACTACTACTACTACTACTACTTCTTCTACTACTACCTCTACGAATACTGACACTATTACTGCTTCGACTCGTATTACTACTACCACTTCGACTATTACTACGACTATGACGACGACCACGACGACTATTGCAATTATTACTACAACGACGACGACGACGCCGACGACGACTACTATTTTTCTTCTACTACTACTTCTACTACTACTACTACTACTACTAATACGGCTACTACCACTGCGACCACTAGTACTACTACTACTACTACTACTACTACTACTACTACTACTACTACTACTAGCTACTACTACTAGCTACTAGCTACTAGCTACTAGCTACTAGCTACTAGCTACTAGCTACTACTACTACTACTACTACGATTACTACTACTACTACTACTACTACTACTACTACTACTAGTACTATTACTACTACTACCACTACTACTACCACTACTCTTACTACTACTACACTATAACTGTTACTAATATTTTTCACTCTGGCTAGTACTTGTTCGTACTACTACTACTACTACTACTACTACTATTACGACTACTACGATTAGTACTATCACTACTACATCTACTACCACATACTACTATATACTACTACTACTACAACTACTGTTACTGCTACTACTACTACTACAACTACTACTACTACCAGCACTACTACTACAAAGACTCCTACTGCATTCTTCTGCTACTACTACTTATGCTACTACTACTACGACCACTTCTGGTATTACTACCATTAGTTAGTATTGTTACTATTACCAATGCGACTACGACTTCTGCCACGACTACTTCTAGTATCGTTTTTACTACTACAATGACTATTACAGTGGCGACCACGACAACGAGGACGACCAGCACTACCACGATTACTAGTACTAGTACTACTACTACTACTACTACTACTACTACTACTACTACTACTACTACTACTACTACTGCTACGACGATTGCTACTACATTTATTTTTTAATTTCGACTATTGCCACTACCACTTCTACCAGTACTTCACGTACTGCTGCACCTACTACTACCTCGGCGGCTGCTATCCACACCGCTCCAATTCGTTTACTACTACGATTACTACTACTACTACTACTACTACTACTACTACTACTGCTACTACTACTACTACTACTACTACTACTACGACTACTACTAGTACGGCTCCGGCAACCAGTACTAGTGCTACTACCTACCACCAGTACGGCGACTACTGCTAGTACGAGTACTGGTATTTCATTGGTACTACTTCTACGACTACTACTACTACTACTACTACTGCTGCTACGACTTCTACTACTACTACTACTACTACTACTATTACTGCGAGTATTACGACCACTTTTCCCTTCACTGCTAGTACCTATATGTCCACAACTACTCCTAATATCATTAGTATCACTGCTCCGTCTTCTACCCCCCTCCTCCTATTATGATTACTATTACTAACACGAACACTACCACTATTACGATTTTGGCTTCTTCTGCGATTGATACCACTACTACGACTACCTACGTCTACTACTACTACGACTACGACTACCACTACTACTACTACTACTACCACTACCACTACTACTACTACTGCTACTACTACTACTACTACTACTACTACTACCAATACTATTGCTACCACTACTACTACCATTACTGCCATTACGACTACCATTACTACTACTACTACTACTACTACTTCTTCTTCTACTACTACTACTACTACTACTGGTACTACTCCTACTACGACTACTACTGCTGCTACTACTACTACTACTACGGTCACTACTACTACCATTTCGACAAATACCCCCACGTCTAGTACCTACGTCTGCTACTACTACTTCTGCTACTACTTCTACGACTACGACTACCACGACTACTACTATTATTACTTCTACTACTACTACTACTACTACCACTACTACTACCACTACCAAAACTACTGATATCACTACTACTACTACTACTACTACGACTACTACTACTACTACTACTACTACTGCCATTACGACTACGATTACGACTACTACTACTACTACTACTACTGCTACTACTACTACTACCACTACTACTACTACTACTACGACTACGACTTCTGCTACTACTACTACTATTACTACGGTCACTACTACTACCACTTTGACGAATTCTCCCATTACTACTACCAGAATTACCTCTGGTGTTTTTTTTATGAAAAAATGAGAAGGAAACATCTATTACCACTAGTACGGCTACAATTGCCAGTATTACTCCTACCACGCCGACTGCGAAGATTACGACGGCTAGTCCTACTTAAATTGTTATTAGTATTGACGCGACAGTTCTAGGTCCCACTATCACTATTACTTTTACTGTCACTACGAGTGCGACCACCATGTTTTTCTTCAAATACGTTTATGACTACAGCTGATAATACTTCTACTACAACTACTGCTTCCAAGCCGACGGCGAGTACGATTATATGTTGTGCTGGCGCGGCTTACTTCTTCTTATACCTACTACTACTATCATTCTGTGTTTTCCACTACGAGTACCACTGTTACAACGGCTACTTTATTGTTTTCCTATTACAACTACCAATAGTGCTACTACTACTACGGCTAGTATTACTACTACTACTACTACTACTACTACCACTACTACTACTACTACTCTTACTACTAATGCCACTTCGATTTCTATTACTAGTAGTGCTACTACCACTAGTCCGATAACTGCTACTACTTCTACGAGTACTCTTAGTACTACTACTACGCTTTCTTGCGATGCTTAGTACTTATACTACTAATACTACTACTACTACTACCACTACCACTACTACGACTACTACTACTACTACTACTGCTGCTACTGCTACATCTACTACTCTCCCTATTGCCATTCTTCTTTCCAGTATTAGTATTACCACGACGGCGACTACTACTACTAGTCTGACAACGTTTACTAATACTTCTATTACTATTACGACTACGACTACTGCTACTGGTACTTCTACGACGACGACGACGACGACTACTACTACTAAGACGACCACTACAACTAGTACTTCTACTGCTACTACCTCTACTACCACTAGTACTGCTTCTACGACCACCTACTACTACTACTACTACTACTACTACTACTACTTCTACTTCTACTTCTACTACTACTACTACTACTACTACTACTATTACTACTACTACTACTATTGCTACTACTACTACTTCGGCTACTACACCTACTACTACTACTACTACTACTACTACTACTACTACTATTACGACTACGACTACGACTAATACTATTATTAGTGTTTCTACTACTACTACTACCACTACTACTACTACTACTACTACTACTACTACTACTACTACTACTACTACTACTACTACTACTACTACTACTACTACTACTACTACTACTACTACTACTACTACTACTACTACTACTACTACTACTACTACTACTACTACTACTACTACTACTACTACTACTACATCTACTACTGCTATTGCTACTGCTACCAGTTCTGCTGCTACGACCAACATTTCGACTATTACAACCTTTGCTGATACTACCATTTCGAAGCACGGGTAGCAATAGTATTACGATTATCATGAATATTACCACGCACGCTAAAGTTTCATTATTCGAGCGGTAGAATACCGATCGAACGCCTTGTTTTTTTGCCCAGCTGCAGTCGCGTGTGACCCATACGCTGGCCGCACAAGATGACCGCTTTCGATGTGTGTTCTTACAGTTTTAGTCATTCGTTCGCGCAAAAATTTAAGTTTCAATCACACATTATACTTCTTGGTTGCTCGCCGAGTCACGGATCCCTTCCACGCCCCAGCCATGGCCCGCGCGGCGCACTCCTCTCGTCCAGTCTAGACGACCAGGCCTTCCACATATTTCTGCACGCGCACATCCAGGACGCCAGCGCACCGGACCGTATTCGCGGCGATCCTCTGGGCCTTCGCGACGGGAGCACCGCGCCCGTACTGCGACAACCTATACGAGGACAACCTCATCGACCACTACAAGGATCTCAGCGCCATGCCGCCCCCGCCTGCTCTTTACCCAGGACGTGCTCCGACTATGTCGTGGCCGCTCGTGGATCCGCCAGCCGCTAGTAATGAACAGTTGACCGATACAACGTTCACATAAGCGGCTACAGCCAAGGGCCCCGAGCTACTCGCAACTATGTTACGAGAGCCCCGGGATCAGCAGCAGAAAGGTGGGAAGTCCGTGGAGGGTCGGGCGACTATGTTGTCAGCGCTCCAAGGGGCAACGGAACAGACCCGGGATCATCTGTCTTCGATCCCTCGGAGCACGACCTTTCGCCGCACCCGTTCATTCCCGTCAGTCTGGCAGGGCGAGATCCCGATGCGCATTTTCGTCCTGACGATCGCACATTGGTTGCATTCAGTAGAGTGACGACACTACGCACGAAGGTCATTCCCAAAGCGATGTTGCGGGATGCTCCGGGTGCCAGGAGCGCCACAACGACGCGACAGAAGATTTCACCCAATGCGCTGACAAGGAGGAACGCAAC